ATTTGGAAAATAGAGAACATGGAAAATAAAGCAAACATCACTTTTAACCCAACTATCCAGAGACAGCCAAATTTAATATATGGGTGTATATAGTCTTTCACCTACACACACATACATTAGGCTATTAACATTTTATAATCTATTTTCCCCTATGAATGAATCATGGCCATTTTTATAGGTATCATTCTTCCACATTATTATTTTCAATGGCCACATAGGATTTTGTTATATAATTGTTCTAAAAAATATATTATGAGAGGATTTTTAGGACAATGAAACTACTCTATATGTCATTATACATTTGTCAAAACCCATAGAAAGTATGACACTAAGAGGAACCCTAATGTAAACTATGGATTTTAGGTGACAATGATGTCAGTGTGGGTTTGTTGGTTGTAACAAATATACTAGCCTGGTTTGAGAAGTTTATAGGCTGTAAGTATGTAGGGGTAAGGGATATATGGGAAATCTCTGTACTTTCCACTCAATTGTTCCACTAAAACTGCTCTAAAAATAAAGTCTGGTGTGTGTGTGTGTGTGTGTGTGTGTAGAGAGAGAGAGAGAGAGAGAGAGAGAGAGAGGGAGAAAGAAAGCACATTTTTATGTAGAAAACTGCACATTTCTTATTATTTCCTTAAGATAAATTCCAGTAAGTGGAATTGTCTGGTCAAAGGGCATGCTCACTTAACAAGTTGCTTGTGTTACCAAATTGCCCTCCAGGAAGATTTTAATAACTTACACTCCCACTAAGAGAGTACACTTGTATTGATTTTTGATCCCTGACTCAACACAGGCCCATATTGCATTTCACTCCATACCTCCATTTACCCCATCCTCAAAATAGTACCGTAAAAACATTATTGGATGTTTCTATCAACAACATCCCCATTTTCTTAACCACAATATAGTACCAAGTTCACCGTCTTTTGATTACCAGCTAGTTACATCTATGAGAAAATGTATGCCATGCTAATTTGTCTTAAAATTTCAAAGAAATTCTCACATGGATCCCAGATGTTGACTATTTAATGCAAGAAAATGTTTCCTCATTATACAAATATGGTACGTGTCCAAAATATTGGCATTGGTTAGTTTATGAATCACTTAAAATAACTACATCACAAAAAACAATGGTTCACGTGTGAGTCATAAATTAAACAATGCCAATTTTTTGATGTGCACCACATTTGGATAATAAGGAAACACCACCTTGGACTAAATGGTCAACATCTGGAATCCATGTGAGATCTTTAAAAAATTAGCATTGTATTTTCTTAAATTTTCCCAGTGTAGAAAGAAATTCAAAATGGAGGCAGTTTTTACAAAAATATCTCTGCCCAAAATATCCTCGCAAGTAGTGCATTGCTTGATTGGTACAAAAACTTAAGTCAAATCAATATAAGTCAAATTCCATTACAAGGAATGCCAAGAGAATTTAAGTCTTTAGCTTTTGTTTATTCTAGGCCTTTTTGTCTGATACCATAGAATATGATTGTCTTGTGTTGAATAGTGGTCCCTCAAAAGACAAGACATGTCCTAAGCCTCAGAACCTGTGAATGGGACCTTATTTGAGAAAAGGACCTTTGCAGACGCCATTAAGGATCTTAAGACATGATCATCCTGGATTTAGGGTTGGCTGTCCTTATAAGAGAAAGGCAGAGGGACACTGGGACACAAACACACAAGGGAGAACACATAGTAGAGAAGACCACATGAAGACAAAGGTAGACACTGGACTTATATGGCCACAAGCCAAAGAATGCCAGAGCTGGAACAACCAGACTCTGGAAGCAGCAGCTTCCTACATTGGAGGAAGCCCGGCCCTACTGACACCTTCATTTTGGATTTCTGTCCTCCACCACTGTGAGAGACTAAATTTCTGTTGTTTTAAACCACACAATTTGTGGTAATTGTTATGGTATCCCAAGGAAACTACAATGGCTATTCAGCATTCGATTGAAATGGAATTCACAGTTAACAGGATTAGATTTAAATTATGAATTAATTATATCACTGTATTTTATTCAAATTTGACATGGCTGCCTGATATTTTTTCACTTTTTGGATTAACATCAAGGACTTGATGGTTCTGCTTTGAGTTTAAATAACATAAAAGGTTTCCCAGCTCCCTTCTAACCTTGGAATGTTCTGATCCCAAAAGATTCTCTCCATAATTTCTGTCATTTAAGCAACTTCGAGGGTATATCCATAAATTTATGAGAACTGGGAAATTCTAAACAAAATAGACAAACCCGACTTATCATCTCAGCCTTCATAGAGGTGACAGATATTGTATCCCCATTAGTGTTCTTGACTCCTGCCCACGTTGTGGACAATAATACATACTTGAAAAAGCTGGATAATTTATCAATCTGACTGCAGAGCACACAATTAGAGGGAGGTGGAATATTACCCTATATTTTTATGTTTGTTGATGTGGGCTCAAAACCCAGTGTGTATGCTCCCTTGGACTTTGAATGAATTGGATGGGTTTTGATAAGCTTTTGGTGGCTTTTGGGAAGACGGTCTCCCTGTGGTATGTTTGATACTCCTTGATACTCAGCCCCACTGAAAGTGTAACTCCAAACTTCCTCAACTTTCACTCTAAGTCTTCTATGTTTATCGAGGCTTCATTCTGTTAAAATAAAAATAAACATCAGATGATTTTTAGGAAATGGTAAAAATCCTATACATTCTATGGTATAGGAGCCCATGATCTTTCTGTGCCCTGTCATCTCCCAGTCCTATACCCTGGCCCACCTCAAGAAGTGAAGAAGCTACAGTGGGATATTACATAGTCATCATAAATAATCTGTTTATACAAGGCCTGGACTCTTTCTGACTCCTCCTAGGACCCTTGTGGCCTGAATGGAAGACAGACAGCATAAAAAACCAGCAATGCCTAGCAATTTGTATTTTTCTGAATAGTAGCGCCCTTAAGAACTCTCCCACTACAAAAGGAGGGATTGAGCTTTTTAAGGATGTCAGATTATTTTTTGCCATAAAGTCATACTAGATCCTGTCACTATCAGCATGGAAAATTTCACAAGTTGCTTGGCAAGAAGACTAGATTATAAGCCCCTTGAGGGCAAGAACAATGCTCTTCTTCATATTTGTTTACATGGAGGCTAGCGCTTTAACATAGTGCCAAGTGTTGAAATCTAGAAGGAAAGAGAGCTGAAGACGCAGTCTCTGTAATAAGCTACAAACACAGTGGAATGAGCTTCATTATATTAAAGGCCAGCAGAACGTGATAGACTCCTTGGTCATCCAGGGGTGGGTCATGGAGCAAATTGGGGAGTACGTAATGTAGCTTTTAAAGGGATTCAGCAGAAAGGGGAGTGAAGTGAGCCAGAATGTGTGTGCTTTTGGAAAAGCATATTTCAATATGATTTTGTATTTGAAAATGGAGAAATATGTATATTAATGATTCTCGTGGGATAGGGTAGGAGGCATGGATGTTGAAGGAGTGTGTATAAAGTGTATGTCCAAATCTGTGTGCACATCCAAAGCTGGCTTGAAGGTAAGGCATGTACATGAGTATGAATTTTTGAGGTTAAGAGAACCACTGGACTAAAATAATTGGGTCTCTCATCCCGTTCAAACCACTTTTTTTTTTTTTGAGATAGCATGTATTCCTTTGTTTTCCAGGCACAGTCATAGCATGCTACAGCCTCAAACTCCTGGGCTCAAGCAAACCTCTTGCCTCAACCTCCCTAGTAGCTGGGACTACAGGTGTGCACCATCATGCCTGGCTCTCAAACCACTTTATTACTAAGAAAAGAGCTGCCCTTTAAACATTCATGATCATAGCCTTCATTGTCTCCAGAGCCAGTTATTATCCCTAATCTGTTTATACAAGGCCTGTCAGGAAAATATCCAGCCATGTAATAAGAAAAATAGAGACATTTATTGAAGACACAAGAAACATTGTACATAGGACAATGATGCCTCAGTCCCCTTCAAAGAAGACCCCTTGAGGCCTCACCAGTTCTCCCAGCGCCTTTTAACCTAACCCATACTCATTCGGCATTTTCAGGTGTACTGCTTGTTGCAGGCCTTCCAGAACATGGATCACTTTCAACAGATTCTCGATCGTCTTTGAAGTGTTTGTGCCACACTTTAATTTGCATTACTCTCTTTGCATCATCCCCAAACACCTTCTGAATCATCCAGTTTCTGCTGAGGAATGTTCAAGTTTAACACAAAATGTGATGCATATTTGTTGCTCTATTCGCTAAGTCATTTTGTGGGTTTTTTTTGAGACAGAGTCTCACTCTGTTGCCCGGGCTACAGTGCCATGGCATCAGCCTAGCTCACAGCAACCTCAAACTCCTGGGCTCAAGCAATCCTCCTGCCTCAGCCTCCCGAGCAGCTGGGACTACAGGCATGTGCCACCATGCCCGGCTAATTTTTTCTATATATATGTATATTAATTGGCCAATTAATTTCTTTCTATTTTTAGTAGAGACAGGGTCTCGCTCTTGCTCAGGCTGGTCTCGAACTCCTGACCTCGAGCGATCCACCCGCCTCGGCCTCCCAGAGTGCTAGGATTACAAGCGTGAGCCACTGCGCCTGGCCTCACTTGGTCATTTTGAATGCCCGGCCACACAGTACACATGCTCACTCAATGGCGTCCAGCGCCCACTGACTGGTACAGTGAGGTCATTGTTCACACGAGCACATTCCAGTCCACTCTCCTTGGCTGCCAGGTTACATGGATGTCGTGCTAACCATTCTCATTATATTAACAATGGCTGGATACCTTCTGGACAGACCTCGTGTATTTCTAACCCTAAATATAATATCTTTATAAAAGCTTAAGAGATAATGCTTACCATTTTTTCTTCTCATCTGTTTAAGATCCATTTGACAATTTCCTTTAAAAATTTTAAAATGCTCAGCCTCCAGGCTTCTATGGCCATGGTGCTTATCAGAGAAGTATTTGTCTGGAAAGCAGACAATAAATATACTAATATGTGATCACCTGAAGAAAAGGAGTCTCTAGATAGCAAAGAAAAATACTTAACTACATTTGGGGAAGGGTGACAGCAGAGAACAAGAGAGAAGCAAGGTCCTTGTCAATAGAGTAATGGGGCTCAGCCATTCTCTCCAACAATTCAGGCAAGTGAAGGCAAAGGAAAAGCGCAATAGGCGTATGTATGTGCACTGTGTGTATATATTTATGTGTGTCTCCTAGGTACCAGTAATGTATCCATCCAAAGCATGCTTCCCTTAAGCTTTAAGGTATTTCAAAGTGGAAGACAATTAAAAGATTGATTTGTGTACTCAAATATCAGGATAATCTTATGGAGAGCTCTCAGGTGCAACCCTGAAGGAAGATCATTTAAGACCCAATTAGCCCATTTCTATAAATAACGTAAGTAATCAGATAGCCATGACACAAGTTTCTCTCATTTGATTTTCAAATTATTCTTAGTATTCATTGACCAGAGATAATCACTTTATGATTTTTAGCAGTAATAAAAAAATAAATTTCCATTTCACACGTAAAAACACTCCTATGGGACCATTCGCTATAGAGGCTTTATAATTGAAGGCTTTTGCAATTACTTTCCCTAAACTTCAAAATCTAATAGAAAAGAGAACAATGAAGAGAAAATCATTCCCCAGGTAAGACACTTCAAAGTATAATGTGCTTGTGAATTTCTTTAATAAACCTCACCAAAATGTATCTTTAACAATGCATCCCATAGCTGGGTATAAATACATTCCACATTGGCATGCCTCCCCACATGGTTAGTAAGATTTGAAACTTGACTGCTAGGGTCCAAACCTCATTTATTAACCTCATGACCTTGGATAATTACCCCAACCATACTCTGTGCCTCAGTTCCTTCGTCTGGGTCACAGAAATCCTGATAATAATACTGTCTAAAGCATAGGGTTATTGCTGTGAGGATTAAAGGAGTTAATCCTTCCTAAATGCTTAGCACAATCTCTAGCATATAGAAAGCACCCTATAAATGTAAATGAGGTTAACATTACATAAAGAAAAGAAGCCCTATTATAAATCATTTTAAGACATGTTTTAAAATTTAAATTGTTGTCTCCAGATCCCTGTCCCCACTCCCCACAATGAGGTACTGAGACAAGCTTCTAAGATGACTTTTAAGTAAAAGATCGTGTGATAAAGATGGAGGTTAACATACATCAATTCGAATTCCATTCATGAAAAATAATATCCTGATGTTGATTAAAACCATTATCTTCTGAAATATTACCTTCTCTAAACACTAAACCCTCAAAGGCTATACCTGAGAAGTTAAGCAAATGAGAAGTCACCATCATTACTTGCTTACTAACAAAATGCCATATAGTGAACTTCTAATAATGTTTCTTGTCCACAGATTAGTAACAGCTTAATGCAAAACCACATCATTTCCTGTTTATGCTTCATTTCCTTCTAAGTGAAACAACTTTTTCTTGGATCTGGAGTAAACATTTATGGATTAACTAAGTAAATTGTTACCAGAAATACAATTTTATAAAAATACTACTTAAGGGTAGTCAAAAACATAAAACATCTGTGTGATGTTTGTTCATACATAAAAATTATCTAATACATAGTGTGTGCCACCTAAGTGAAAAACTGAGTCTATAACCAGAGGCACAAACAAAATCATCATAGGTTCCATCAGTATTGGTTTTTAAGTCCAGTTGGGAATATTTTAATAACTGTCACACCATGGCTTTCCTTAGTCTTGACCAGAGGTCACAAACTGCTTGACAGACATCGTGTTTGTGCAACGCGGTATCTGAAAAATTATTGAACTCAAATATCTTTAGGTGGGCCATACCTTCTATTTACCCTACAGGCCCTTAAAGGCATTTTACTTTGCAAACCCTGGTCTAGGCACAACCTTACAGAGATGAGATTAAAAAATAATTATTATTTAAATGGCTAAATAAAGTCCAGAGACTTTGAAATTAAAGATACTTAATAGTTACATTCAGAAGTTTTTCTAATTTGCTTGTTGGGTTCATTTTATTATGTTTTCAGTGTACATTTCTAACAGTGGCTCATTTGATTAGGACTGCTGAGCTGAGTTGTTAAAATTCACTTACAATCAGATACCAAAAGAAACCAGGAAATAGAGAATTTTTACAAACATGTTCTGTGGATGAAAGTTTGGACTAAAATCCAAATTATACATTATTTTCAAAAAATTAATAACATTCTATCAATGGCTTATTTTTCTTCATATAAAACAAAATGAATTTGCTCAATGCAATATTTAAAGAACTACTTTCTACGAATGTATATTTTTATATATACACACATAAGAGACACACACATATATACACATACTCAGAGAGCAGTGACTGAGTCAGCTGTTGCTCTTACTCTTTTCAGTTCCATCACACTTCCAGGGAGATTCTATTCCACTTACAAATTAAGCAGAGTCTAAGGCCAAATAAGAACATGGAGTGGGTTTTCTAAAGCATTAGTTTATGCATCAATCCATAGGTGTTAGGTTTTAGGAACTGATGAGGCACATGCTAGCTGGCTTTGGAGTCCAAATGTTATTAGTTAAGTGTTCTTTTAAATTAATATGGAATGTTTCCATTCAGATGGCCCCAGTGAGTATACCCTTGCCTCCAGCTTCTTCTTCAGAACATAAATACAAGGCACCCTGCAGTGAATTTCCTTCTGGGGGTGGTGCCCCTGAACTCTCCTGGATTAGTCTTTCTGAAGGTTCTGGAGAATTCTCCCTCCATCTTGGACTTGAGTGTTGCTGGGGAACTTCCCAGATTGAAGGACATGAAGAAGGGAAACCCAGAGTGGATCGTGAGAGGGGATCCTCTTGAAGGCCCACTTCTTGGATACACCTGTTAGAGAGCACTTCCTTTTCTTTGGAATTCCGCCATTTCATCCTTCTGTTCTGAAACCAAATTTTCACCTATTGACAAAATAATCGGACAAAATGATCACGTATTTCAAGTTATTTCACTTCAACATTTTAAACAGTAATAGCTTCTACTATCCCTTCTACAAAATACCTCATTATGACAGCCAACCTGGCAAAGTCCTTGTTGGCTTTTCACTTAGACTCCTTAAAAAATATCTAAAAAATTACTTCAATATAATAGCCCCATACACACTTCTGAAACAAAATGACTAAGGTAAACTGGTTACAGCCTGTAAGCCTAATATCTTTCAAAATTGATTTAACTCTTAGATCTATTTTAAAACATCATTTAGTGCATGCTAAATTATTTATTCAAAGGAAATGTATTGGATTATAATAGCATCTGAGTGTTTATTTTGTGCCAGGCATCAGACCGTGCATTCTAGGTGCATTTTATAATCTGATTCCCACGATGGCTGTAAGAAGTCCTCACTTCACATGTAAAAAAACTTGAAGTTTGGGAAGATTAACCAGCTGAAGGTCAGACAACTAGTAAAATGGAAGCCATGACTGTCTAACTCCAGGGCCCAGGCTCTTATAAATATTCTGACCTCATCAGGAATTTTTTTGAGATTAAATTAACAATACATTTGTAATGTTTTGATGAATTGCAGGCTTGATACAGTTTCTAAGTTTTGATTATTCCCAGGATTTATCAAAAACCTAAGAATTAGGCTCTATAAATAACAATTATAATTAAGCTGAAAGTGCTTATGATGGTGGTTCCTAATTTCAGCCATATCCCTACCCATTTTGCTTGAGTCTCTCTCTTTTATTAATCTCCCTCTTTATCCACTGTGTAGTCAGCTGTGCCTGAGTAGCAAACTTCACAATTGGTTTCCTGATATCCTAAAAGCCAAACACATTCTTTTCCTGTGTATTACAGTGCATCTTTACACTAACAATTTAGATTTCTATTCCTAAAACAAAAACCAGAAAATTTTTACCTGAAGAAATAATTATTAAAGTATACCAGCCAAATATTTCTCTCAAGGAAGGAAAACAATTCTGTCTGAGACTGTCTTCTCAGATTGGTAAAACAGTTTCTTCCATCTCTCAATTTGATTGGTAATGTTCAAAATGGCTGCAAAATAAATCTACCCCAGGCAATTGAGTGCAAAAGACTGCCATCTTAGTTACAATCCTGTGCTTAAGGCTTTTCATAAGAAAGAAGTACTAGTGCATACATACCAGAGCATTTGGTTCTATTCATAAACTCATTTACTATTTGCAGTGGGCATTTACTCCTAGAAAGCATGCCAAGTATTTCTAATGGGTTTTCACTTAGACAGCTATTTGTTCCCATTAGTGATTCTTGCCTTTCTCATCACATTCATTATTTTATTCTTCCCTTAGCTTTGCTGTATGTCTAGAAATATTTGTTAAGTGCTATCTCAATGAAAAAAAATGAAAAGCGTTTCCTCACAATGAATGGTGTCAGGACAAATGTATATATTCAGGGAAAAACATAAAAGTTCTACTTCTCAGCAAATATAAAAAACAAAGTTGACATGATTAAATAGCTAAACATAAAAACCAAACCATAAAAGTTCTAGAAGAAAATATAAGAGATTACCATTATAGTCTGGGGGAGATGAATGTTTTCTTAACATGACATAAAACAGAGGCCACAAAGGAAAAGACAGATGAAAGCTAAATACATAAAAAATGAGAAGTTTCTGTACAGATAAACATACCATGCAAACTACCCAAAGGAATTAAAAGCAGGGTATCAAAAAGACATTGCACCCATGTTTACTGCAGTACTATTCACAATAGCCAAAAAGCGGAAGCAAGCAAGTGTCCATGGACAGATGAATGGATAAACAAAATGTGATATGTACATACAATGCAATATTGTATGTGCAATATTAAAAAGCTTAAAAAGGAAGAAAATTCTGACAACAGGGATAAGCCTTGAAGACATTATGCTTCATGAAATAAGCCAGTCACAAATGGACAAATGCTATATGATTCCACTCATGTGAGATCCTTAGAATAGTCATTCATAGAAATAAAGTAGAATGTTGGTTTCCAGGGACTGAGGGGTGAGGAAAATAAAGAATTATTGTTTAATGGATCCAGAGTTTCAGTTTTACAAGGTGAAAAAAATTCTGGAGATAAATGGTGGTGATGGTTATACAACAATGTGAACGTACTTAATGCCATTAAACTGAACACTTAAAGGTTAAAATGGTAAATTTTATGTTACATATACTTTACCACAATAAAAAAGAAAGTTCACAAGCTTAGAGAGGACTTCTGAAACATCTGTAATAGGAAAATTTTACTAACCATAGTATTCCAAAATTTTTGATTAACAGTGAAAGTAATTGCCACATATGAACAAAAAGACAATATGACAGAAAAATGATGAGGCATGAAAAGGCCAATTCACAGACCACAAACAGCCAGTACAACAATTTAAAAATCCCCTCTAGTTATGGTAGTTAGGAAAATACAAATTAAAAAATAACAAATGCCGTGAGGCTGGGGGGACATTTTTTAAAATGATAAATGGCAGAGTGCTTGCAAAAAGGTACTATTTGTTAATACGAGTGAAAAGTTGATATAACTCAGTATCTAATTTGATACAATTTTGTACTTAGAAAGGTATTTTTAATCTGTTACAGTTTTAAAAGTACCTACACTTTAACCCATTAATCCCATTCCTGATTCCATAACTTACAAAAATATTTTTAAAATGTATAAAGATATGCAATAGTAAAAACTGGAAGTAACTTAAGGTTAAGGATGGCTAAATGAATTACACATCCATACAACAGTCTGTTCTGAAACATAAAATAAAGAATGAAGTAGATCTGTATGTACTCACATGGAAGGATGCACCCCATGACATTTGAAAAGAAAAAAAATTTAAAGCACAAAACAATACACATTGTCAGCGGCATTATTCATAATAGCCAAAAACTGGGAACAATACATCTGTCCACCATGAGTAAATGGGTAAATTGTGGCACCTCGTGTAATGTTAATACCACACAGCAATTAGTGTGAATGAGCTATTGCCACATGCAACAACATGAAGAATCTTACAAACATAATCTTAAGTAAGAGAAGCCATACACAAAAGTGTAGGTATAATTCTGAATTTTGGGTTATATAAAGTACAAAGGTAAGCAAAGCTAATCTATGTTGTTAGAAGTCAGGATAGTGGATACCCTTGGAAGGAAGAGCAGGTAGGACAAGAAGGGATATTTGGAGGGTTTCTGGTTTCTACTATTTGATTTGTGTGCTGGTTATACAGGTGATTTGTACTGTTCTTCAGAAAAAGCCAAAATATATGCACAGTATGATCTCATTTTCATTTAAATATATATATATATATATATATATAAACATACATACAATGCTAGGTCTCAGCTTCCTCATTTGTAAACAGGGTTAATAAAAGTAGCTACTAAATGGGATCTTTGTAAGGATTAAATAACATCAAATATAAGGACACATGGTAAGCATGCAAGCATTTGTAATATTATTATATATTTGTATATATACAACACACAGATAAATTTATTTTTAAAATAATACATGATGTTGTCAATAAGTCCAAACAAGAGCCATTTATAAATGACAATCATAATCATGGAGTTGAACTGGAGGGGACCCTAAGATGAGTTTTCGTTTTTAATTTTACTAATTTCCCTTTTGTTTGAGTTTACCATAATAAATACCGTGTATTAATTGTGTAATTGATATATATGCAAATAAGAAAATGTTAAATTGCTTCTGAGAAGTTTCACCAAATTCAATAAGACAAAAAAAGGATTCATTCCTAAGGCACCTGAATTTTAAAAATTATATAATTAAAATGTATTAACAATAATATTTAAAACTATGTATCTATGGATAAGAACCAGAAGATAGGATACAAACAGAAAAATAGTTGGTTTTCTTGGGGTGGAGAGATTGTGGTCATCCCCCTATAAATATTTTTTTAATATGGCTATTGCATTTTCTTTCTAAAAGTCTCTTTTTAGGAACATGATATGTACTAAGAGAGATTTTTATAATTTCTCAGAGCATTGTCAGATGCAATCTAGCTACTTTCTATTCTTTAACACCTACTTCAGGTTCCAACTCAATCAGAGGCTCCCCAGCCTTCCAAATCTGCATATTTTCTTCCCTCTGACTATGCGGGTTTCATACCAATGAGATGCAGGCCAAGCCTACTGAGCTCCAACGTAGCTCTCACTCAGGCCCAACAGCCTAGTCCCATCACTAGACTTCCCGGGGGTATATGGACAAGTCATGAGGCTGTCCTTTCCAGAGATGTGGATTAACATAAAGTTCCAGAGAGATACCTAACTTTGAGAATTACTGATCCCCTTATTGGGCAGCATATCTAACCCACTGGGTGATGTTCTCTGTATTATTCTATAGTCTTACGTTGTTTTCTAACTTTTCACGAGTTTCCACTGGGTGTGGAAGTTCCTGGGGTACAAATCAGTATTTATCAATATTCCCTTTTACTGCCTACCTGCTGTCTTGCACACAAAAGACCATCAAGATATAGCTATTGATTTATCTGTTATATACACAAAATTGCCCTGTATTATAGACAGAATTCCTGTATTTGTTCCTATTTTTTAAGTGAGAAACTGAGGCACAGAGCAACCAATTAAGGTTGTGGACTCCTTAGTACCACATAGCAAGGAGAGCACAGACTGACTGACCTAGGCTAATTACCCTTTACTATACCACATTCCTCTTCCTATCACTCTAAAGAGTTGGGGTGTGTGTGCAGGTTTTGTAAACAGATCACTTCCCCAGGAAATGGAAGCACAGTTAAGGAGAGTTTCATCCAATAATAACTGGTTTTAATAAGGTTCAATGTTAAAAACTGGGTCATTTGTAATGAAGAAGCATAGCAGAACATGGTGGTTAAGACAAAGCCTCTGCTAGCTCTTCAGTCCCTTTTTGTTAATTAAAAAAATCCAGGTGAATGTAGAACTGTACCAGAAAACTGAACTTGGCAAGCAGAGTTACTGCTGCCGTTCAGCTGCCACCATCCATTTTGGCCAGATGCCCGTGTACAGTGAACACCCTGTACCACTGGACATGGGGGTTCCAGGTTAAAGAGAACACAAACCCCAGAGTCAGGCTGCCTGGGCTAGGAGCCTAGCTCCAAAACAGTTTTGCTACATGACATTGGACCTGTGTTTAATTCTCTACATATTTTTCATTTAGAAAATGAGGATGATTATAGTGCTTTTCTCATATGGTGATTATAAGGAGGATTAAATAGGAAAATGCTAGTGCCTTATGGTGTTAATTATTTGTAATAAGTAGGCCAATCATGAAATGAAATATTCTGTAACTCCAAAAGGCCAGAAAGTCTCATTCACAATTATATGAAACATCCATGTACAGGAAAGGTATGCAAGTATTTCAAATGTGAAACTACTCAATTGTACTTGTCTTAAACCCCAAGTGGAAAATAATACAACCCATTAAGAAGTATTCATGAGTATTCATGAGTCACTCATTCATGCTTTCATTTTGGATTAGAATTGAAGAGAAAGACAGGAAAATTGATTCCTGCTTTTGTAAGGAACAATTTATCCTGCTTCTCTGAATACAAAACAAACAATATATGATGTAAACACCACATCCTTAATTTCTCTTCATTTGGGAAGAATTCATCAGCCCAATAGTTAAAACCTAGATTTCTCAGCAAACGGACCTATTTCCAAATAGGAAGTGCGACATATATTTCCACCCACCAAAAAATTGTGAAAAAGCATTTCACAAACACCTCAGTGTTCAGCACCATTTGCCATTAAATTTGAAGAAATTGCCAAATAAATGGATTTCATGGTATTTCTTCAGAAATCAGGAGCAATAGGCATCTTCCTGCTCATTAGTACCTGTGATTCCTTTAGTCCCAAGTTGATGGCAAGTTTCTTTCGGTCTGTTTTGCTGATATATTTCTGCTTCTGAAACATTTTCTCCAGAGCCTTTCTCTGGTCCTCAGAAAAGACAGCTCTTCTTAAAATGCCCCTCCGAGCTTTGGAATTAGAGTCCTGTGTCAAGAGAGGCAGCACGCTCTCTTCTCCTAGGGGTGGAGAAAAAGGTACAGAAGCCCTGTTAGCTTTAGACGGATGTCAGCTTTTTCCAGGATAACACAGTATCCTCCTGCTTTGTATCATGACCAAATTTTCTCTCCACTCTGCATACTCAGAGCAGTGCTTCTTAACCTCTTTTTGGTTATTAGCTCCTTTGGGAATCTGATAAAGGCTCCTTGCTCCCCAGTGGGCAGGGGTGGGTATACATTGCCCACTCAATTGCCCTCTCAATTTTGCATGCCATGTCAAAAAGTCCAAGCCCCAGTGTAGAAAAAGTAGCACCAGTAGGTGGTTTCTCTTTCATTCTTTATTTATTTATTATTCATTCTTTATTAATTTATTATAATAATAAATTTATTATTATAAATTTAACCAATTTTTGAACACTTACCCTATGTCAGGCACTCTGCTTAATATTTTGCTTGATATTACACATTGAGAAATAGCAGTAATATGTTTCATTGCCCTCATTACCTGTAAAATCTAATGGAGGGGCAATTCTTGAACTAGCATCGCAAATGTGATGAAGTGTTCCTAAGGAGGGGTCCAGTCTCAATCTGGGAAGTCAGGGAAAGCTCACAAGAGTCAGAGGTGTTTAATCTGATTACCAAAGGGAGAGCTGGAGGACTCTCAGGCACTCTCCCCCACAATCCCACTGATTATCAACTCCTTACTACTTTTTTGCCTTTTGTGGCTAGCACAATACTGGTTCCCACCCTCTGCATCCATCCTTCATTCATTCACTTGTTCTGCTTCCCAGGTACAGCAGGCGGAATAACTGCCCTCAGAAATATCCTCCCTGTGAATATGTTACATTACATGGCAAGGGGGAATTAAGGGTGCAAATGGAATTAAGGTTGCTAATCAACTGATCCTGAGATGAGACGAGTAGCCTGGATTACCCAGGTGTAGGTCCAGTGTAATCACAAGGGCCCTTATAAGTGAGAGAAGGATGCAAATTGGAGGTCATAGTCAGAGAGAGATGTGAAGATGCTACACTTCTGGCTCTGAGGATGCAGGAAGGGGCTGTGAGCCAAGGAATGCAGGCAGTGTGGAGAAGCTGGAAAGAAGAAGGAAGCAAATTCTCACCACGGCCTCCCGAAGGAACACAGCCCTGCTGACACCTTGGTTTTAGCCCAGTGGGCCCATTTAAGGCTTCTTACCTCTGTAACTGTAAAATAACAGGTGTGTGTTGTTTAAAGACACTGAGTTTGTGGTAATTTATTACAGCAGCAATAGAAAACCAATACCCTGGATATGAGGCTCACTGGCCTAACTGTTGAGGACATGAGACAAACAGCACATGGTCCCTGCTCTAATGGGGTTCGCCTTCTCATGGGGGGACTGACTCATGAACATTCACTCCATACTGTAGGCACCACCCGAGCAGAGTCTCTAGATTGTGGTTGTAGCTGGTATGCATTTTGGTATTAATAATTATTTGCTGAATGTACAAGTAAATGAATGTTGTAAGTACCAGAATAGAAAGATCTGCAAAGTACACTGGCTTCACAAAGGGGGAAATGATGAGTTCAGAGATGAGATAATAGCTTGAGCCAAGTCTAAATGAAGGATACAGTTAAAGAGAGAAAAAACCAAAGCCTATCCAGGCAGAGTGACCTGCATGTCTGAAAGCCCTAAGGCACAAAGGAATAACATCTTTCCAAGGAAAAGCAAGCAGCCTTCAAGGCTGGAGAAAGGGATGAAGCAGAGGTTGCAAGCAGCAACCATACCCAGCCTGCAGGTGGGCTTTGTTCGGTCTTAGCATATTGGTTAAAAACACTGATTTAGTTGTCCAGATTTAATAATTGTGACATTTCACATGAAGACCAGGATTCTGACACCTCTTCAAAGGTAACTACACAGGGCTCACCTTCCCACAAAGCAAAGAGCTACCAGATTGGGTAACAGGTGCCCCCCTTAGATGGAGCATGTGGCCCCAGTTTTCCACCTCACATAGCTTTCCTTTTACCTGCTAAGATCTTGAAGACACTGGACCTCTGGCATAGAGACAATGGAGTGGAATGGAGTCAGATCATAGAGAACTGCAAGTGTTTGGGACATTATCCAGTGGACAGTGAAGCTCAAGAGATGTTCAAGCAGGGCAGGACATGATGACCATAAACATACACCCAGCAGCTCTGTTACACTTACTTTGTGTTAAACCACTGACATGCATTATTTCATTTAATTCTCCCAGTGAATCTATGTCATAAATGCTATTATTATTCTCCCCATTATAGAGAAATAAAATGAAGCTTAGGAAGGTGAAACAACTTTGTCCAAAGACTAACACCAAAGCAAATGCTCTTAATCCTATACAATACTGGCGTGATCTGATTTGTATTTTAGCAGGAAAATGGCAATAAATCTTGTCAATTCTACTTCTATAATAAGACAGCTTCCTTTCCTATTTGTCTAAAAGATTACAAACCTTTCCTGGCTAGTGTCTCAGCCCTGGGTTACACCCCATTTCAGTTCATCCTCACACTGCAGAAAGAACCACTGACCTCTGCCTCTTTGCTTCCCGCTCTGTAACTCTGCCTCTCCTTAGCAATGCCGTGGTCCTGGGATGTCAGCATGCCCCATTCTGTACAAAGGTCTACTTCCACTGATGTCCTTTCTGTTCATCCTCACATGGGATCTTGGTTGTTTCTCCTTCTACAGCACCAATTCTTTTTGCCTGTCTCATGCCAAGGTCATATTTTGAAGACAGATTTTGACAAATGGATCCACTATTCTTTATCAGAGATTTAGCCAGTTTCATGAAGTGTTGGTCAATAATAAACAACATTCTGAATATCTCAATTTGATCATCTTTTTCTGAATGCTTCTCTTCTCTCAACATTCCTTGGTATGGAAATCTTGAATTTAGCTCTTGTGCACTATTGCAGAATACAGATTTACCTGCTGGGCTCACATCTCTCTAGGAAGCCTCAGGAAAAAGGACTTTGGAGTATGGAAGAACTGGGTTTGGATCTCAGCACTTACTTATGTGACTTGGAGCAAGTTACTCAGTCTCTTTCAGCTGATCTAAGGCTGCTCCCAGGATTCGATGAAATAGCATAAAAAAATTATAGCAGCTTACCCACAGTAAAAATTCTACAAATTTAGTTTACTTCCCCTTGTTGGATTTCATTTGATCCTTATGAGAATTATATGCCATAGATATAGATATTTTTCACTCCAGAAGACGTGTTTAGAGCAATCAACATCTGAAGATACACTAAGGACACGGAGCTCAGTTGGCACCAAGACCTTCTGAAGTCGAATTTTTGGCTCTTTCATTTGCATTCTGTCCTTCCTAATTTGTAAATGTATCCAACCTACCATTATTGCAGCCATCAGTACTAAAAATTAGGAGGAGAAAAAAACTAAATATCCAAAGGTAAAGAAATGTATAAGTAATTATCTACTTGGTAAAATTTTAATGAACCATTAAAGATGAGGACTATGAAGATTAGGCAGCAGCAAAGAAAGTACTAATGCTATAATTTTTTAAAGCATGATATGTAAGATATATACTATGCTTACAACTAAGTAAAAATGCAAAGATAAAAGATTGAAAGGATAAAAATAAATACTAAGATATGCTATTGTAGAATTATGGACAAATAATTTATCTCCACTGTCCATTATTTTAAGTTTGGTTCTATTTTCTAATGGAAACAGGCAAGCATTATAGCAACCTTTTTGGGAATAACTTGGCAGAGTTATAGAGTTGTTGCTGAGTGACAATCAGAGATGAATCCAATCCATCATTAAGGTGCTCAGAGTTGATAGGAAAGGCCCAAGAATAGACTGCCATAATACAGTGAGATAAGGACCCATGGACAAAGCACAGAAGGCATTTAGAGCATCAGATAAGGAGCTGCTGAGTCTGGGAGGCCCACAAAGTAGCTCCTAGGAGAGAGCAACAGCTAGAAGAACAGCAATTCCTCTTACTGGCAATGAGGGGGAAAGGCAGGCAGAGTAGAGGGATTAAGAGGCATGAGGCTGGGTGAAGACAAGTGTGAAACATGGTGGATCTAGGAATCTCGCACAATCTGGCACTTCCAAATTGCAGTGTACAACTGAGAAGAGCACAGGAGATAGGCTGAAAAGGCAGGTCTGGGCCAACGGTGACTGAAACAAACTTAGGTTATAACTTGTCAAGGGAGGCCTCTTAAGAAGGACATGACCAACAGAGCATTTTGGAAAGGCAAATACTGTCTTGTCAATAAAACTTTTTATATCATACAGAGTCCAAAACAAATTTATAGACCTATAAAGGTAGTGGAAAAAATATCTACATTTATGTTTTTACTAAGTAGAGTTTTTATAAGTAAGGTTCATGATTCAACTTGTTTTAGCCCCGTCTCCACCAAGATCTACATGCTAATGTAAAACAATGGGGAAATAAAGCTCACTTAAATGCCCTCAAAACTTTTAGTGGAAACCCACATGTTTTCCTAATGAGTTATTTTAAAGTAAAGAGAAAGAAGATTCTCATCAAGAAAATCTAAAATTAATTATTTTCCCCATTGTGCTAAATACTAACATTTTGTGGGCCATGAACTCAAACCAGCACTCAATCTTGAAAGCAGAGACCTGGAGTGGTTGTGAGGGTCAAAGGGTTAATTCCTAAGTCTGGTCCTCAGGTTTCAGTGCTCTATAACAAACATGAATATAACCAATGGACAAGCAAAAAATACGACAAAGATAAAAGAATATTGCATTCTTCCTTTTTTTGTTAGTTACCTGGTTGCTTTTAGCATTGGTCTCAATACACAAATCATGCTTGTTTTCGTAACATGATGTGTCTTGGGATCCTACAGGAAGCAATGCTGCCATAACTACCACGGATGCTCCTCCCATGGCTCACCCATGTGTCTTTCATGGGCTATCTCTGGGTCTAACCATAAACTATGCTGATGAACCTACACCATTTTATAACTTCTAAGCATATGAGTAAGTGTCCAAATTTATGCCTGCATAACACACATGTACA